TTGATTCTTACTCTCTCTACACTATCTTTTTCTATTTATTTTATTTGAGATTTAAGGATAAAATTATTTGACATTGAAATGATGCGTTGTCATTTCCACGTAAGTCTATGTTGCGGAATCTATTTGAATATTGATGTTTTAGAGTCTCAAATTTCTTTTTGAATAGTATGAAGTAATTAAAAGATAATATATGTTTATAATCTTTATTAATCATTAATAACACACCGAAAACATAATTATTCAAACTCAAAAATTTAAAAAAACACTCCTTTAACCATTAAAAACACTTAAATTAGTTTTCTACATTCTCTAGTAATATAAATTATTTTTTACTTCTATCGTAATAATATGATTTTTAATTTTAGAGGCGGTCTTTGTAAATTATTACTCTATTACGACTCTATTTTACAAAAAAAAAACTTCTTTTGTTAAAAAACCATATTTGAAGATGGGTTTAAGAGTTTCGGTTGAAGTTTTTCGATAACGATTGACTTCATGTTTATATAATATAGCCAGAGGCGGGCCCAAGATAAAAACTCAGGGGTTGCACAAAAATTCAGGCGTATCCCAATTCCCACAAAACTAAAAATAAGTGCTTGATTTATAGGCTTAAGGTTTGTTTTTTGGGTTTGATCTCTTTTTTTAATTTTAAATATGATATTAATTTTTTCCTATAATAAAGAGCACAGTTACACACAATATTAGAGGTGACACTTGTATTAATTAAAAAATAGAAAAAATTAACACTAAGTAGACAATTTTAAAGGGTTGTCTGGGATACCCAAGGCAACTATAAGGTCTGCCACTGAATCTAGCAATATATATATATATATATATATATATATATATATATATATAATATTGTCATTTTTATTATTTTATATTTATAGAAAAACTCCAGTTTAATATATTAAATTAATAAATTTAAAAACATTATATACTAATATTTTGGTTTGGACCGGGCTGTTGTTTTTGGAGGACAAGCGAAAGTTGTCAATGAGGAGGATAGGCCGAAAATAGATCGACGGATTGGATTGGTGAAACAATTTTATGTAATCTGCGTGACGGTCCTTGTAATGTTATGTTCTCATCCATCTTATGGTAGTCATGGAAGAGGCGGAATGAAGCGGTTTTCCAAGGCCTCCACGTTGGTTCAGCTAGCTTGAGTTTCTCATAGGCAAAGCTATATTGCAACCCCGAACCGCCCACTCCTTTAATGGCGCGTTCGGTTATTTAATGGCAACCCCTTATTCGAGTCGGTCTTGTGGTGCAAAGTCTCAATTGTTCGGCATTGCATCAACAAGATATTTTTGCATGTTTCGTTGTTGTCCCATGTTAGAAAGCTTAGATGATTGATTTTCATTTGATCGAACGTGAAGCTAATACGATATTAGATTCCATGATTAAAAATATTGCTCTTCTAGATGAATTTTTTAACTATTGACAACGTACACATATTCTACAGATACAATAATGCACATGTAGTCACTGAAACCACTCAATAGATTCATAATTTTATTAAAAGTTTAAGTTTATAAATTGAAATATACATATATTACTAGATAAATAAATAAAATTTTAAATTGTGAATGGGAGTAAAAAGCCGGTGGTAGCCAATAGTCATCCTGATGTATATTCAGGGTTAGGAAAGTGAAAGTACTGTCTCTCTTTAAAATACCTTCCAAGTATAACTTTGATGTTCCAAACTAACCCTTTGGCGGGAACTGGGAACTGGGAAAAGGAAGATAAAAGAAAAAGGAAGAAGAAAACAAAGGGGGAAACCCTAAATCCAATACCTGCAGGCAGCAAATCCCAAATTGAGAGATGGGGAAGGACGTGGAGGAGATGCGGGGCGAGATCGAGGAGAGGCTGATAAACGAAGAGTACAAAATTTGGAAAAAGAACACTCCTTTCCTCTACGATCTCGTCATTACCCACGCCCTCGAGTGGCCCTCTCTCACCGTCGAATGGCTCCCCGACCGCGACGAGCCCCCCGGAAAGGATTACTCCGTTCAAAAGATGATATTGGGCACCCACACTTCCGAGAACGAGCCCAATTACCTCATGTTGGCTCAGGTCCAGCTTCCCCTCCAGGATTCCGAGAACGATGCTCGCCAATACGACCACGACCGGTCCGACCTCGGCGGTTTCGGATGCGCCAGCGGCAAGGTCCAGATCATTCAGCAGATTAATCACGAGGGGGAGGTCAATAGAGCTCGTTATATGCCTCAGAATCCTTTTGTTATAGCCACTAAGACGGTCAATGCCGAGGTTTTTGTGTTCGATTACAGTAAGCATCCTTCGAAGCCACCTTTGGATGGGGCTTGCAGTCCCGATTTGAGACTTAGGGGCCATAGCACCGAGGGTTATGGGCTATCTTGGAGTAAGTTCAAGCTGGGCCATTTGCTTAGTGGCTCAGATGATGCTCAGATTTGTTTATGGGATATCAATGCCACTCCCAAGAACAAGTCTCTTGATGCTACGCAGATCTTCAAGGTCCACGAGGGTGTCGTCGAAGATGTTGCTTGGCATCTCAGGCACGAGTACTTGTTTGGGTCAGTTGGGGATGACCAATACTTGCTTATTTGGGACCTGCGAACCCCATCTGCCACCAAGCCTATCCAGTCCATAGTTGCTCACCAGAGTGAGGTGACCATCAATCAATTTCTCATTTCCTTTTTATTTTATGTATGTAATTTTTGTATACATGAAAAAAATTTCAAGCTTTTCGATAAACAATTGTGACTTGCTGATTTCTTTTCTTTCTGCTTTAGTTAGGCTGAATAGTACTTAGGGTTTAGAAAAGGAATTCACTCAATAAAGAGGTACAAAGTGACCAAAACAACATATGGACTCAGCAACAATGATGTTTCTTGTTTCATTTATCCTTCGTAGTTTAGTACCATTTGGTTCTGCCTTTGATTTCTGTGCTAAATATTTAGACATAAAATTGTGATGAATAGAGGAGATTTTTGGTTTATATATGCTCTTATCAGAAATGCTAGCAGGTTGATAAGTTCGATAATCAATACTGAAGTGAAGTTTGGCCCACTTTGTTGTTTGATGTTGTTATTTTCATGTTATCAGGTCAACTGCTTAGCTTTCAATCCTTTTAATGAGTGGGTTGTGGCAACGGGTTCTACTGATAAGACGGTTAAGTTATTTGATCTTCGCAAGATCAGTACTGCACTCCACACCTTTGATAGCCACAAGTAAGAAATTCTACTCCGGGCATAATATGATTACTTTTGTGGATTCATGAAATATTCCTATTTTTCCTTTTCCATACATGATGCGATTATTATATGTTACTTTTGTGGATTCATGAAATATTCCTATTTTTCCTTTTCCATACATGATGCGATTATTATAATGTTTTAAAACTAGATGCCCAAATTTTAGTCAAGAATTCTTGAATGTCAGTTAATATATATAGCTATAAAGCCAGTTTTGAGTGTTGAAGATATGATTTCATTGTCTTTGAGATTATTATTTTTGGAACTCTTGAAGATGTTTTAATAGCTAGTCATGAAGTTGAACTATGTAATGATGTGCAACAGGGAAGAAGTTTTCCAAGTTGGGTGGAATCCGAAGAATGAAACAATCTTAGCATCCTGTTGTCTTGGTAGAAGGCTCATGGTTTGGGATCTTAGCAGGTGAGTAACTCGTTGCCAAATGGTGTTCGGTTTTCTTGAGTGAATCTAACCTTTTTTGCTAAATGGTGTTTGGTATTTGGGTTGCATTGATGATAACTTTTTTGCTCCAGAAGATTGACTGAATTACCTAGCTAATAATTTTCTTTTGATGCAGCTACATTTTGTGACCTCATAGGCATTGCTAATATTGTTGGTCATTCAATTTTGTTATGCAGGATTGATGAAGAACAGACACCAGAGGATGCCGAAGATGGTCCACCCGAGTTGCTCTTCATTCATGGGGGACACACTAGTAAAATATCTGATTTTTCATGGAACCCATGCGAAGATTGGGTTATTGCTAGTGTAGCTGAAGATAACATCCTTCAGATATGGCAGATGGCAGAGAATATATACCACGATGAAGACGATGTACCGGGAGACGAATCTGCCATAGGTTCTTAAATGTTTTTTTATCCCCGGCATGAGTGGAGAACCAACTGGGTTAGCCCCAAGAGGTTGACAAATTTAGGAGAGTAAATTTAGCTTGTCTTCATATGTTTTACAGCCGTGTTCTCAACTTTTTTTTAACTCAATCTATTTGATCCCATGTGCTGAACTGTAACTGATATACATGAATTGTATTTCACTATTTATGAGCATCTGTATGGGTATCTTCTTTCTCTAAATTTTTGTTGATATGTTACTATAATCTTTTAAAGGTCGGGTGATATAATTGACTTTAAAATAAAAGTTCAATATTATAATTGAAGAAATTAAAAGTTCAGTAGTATAAATGATACATGATCTAAAATTCAGGGGTATTTGGTGTAATTTACCGTTATTTTATTTGAATAAACACATCATAGAAAAATGGTTATATTGTTATTGTTAGAGGTGGGTTATGAAAAAGAAGTAACTTATCTAATGATATTTTTAACCTCTTTTCGCGTATGTTCATCGTACGGGCAATAAAGTTGTGCATAATATAGCGCACTGGGCTTTGTCTTGCAATAGCCCGTTTCTGCTTGAACTAGATCCTCTGCTTGTATTGAGATTTTAATGATGCAATTTACAGTTATATGGGTGAAATTATTTTATCCTCAAAAATTATATCAATATTAAATATTGATAATAAGAAACCTTTGGTCCCATGATTGATGGATGAAATTTGTTCCATATAGGTGGCTTGGATCTTGGCCCATACTTAAGCTACGACCTCTTAGTTTAGAATCCTGTATAAATAGGCAGTTCAACAAATACCATGTATGAATTTCAGGTGTTTAGCAGCTCTTCGAGTAATTAAATGCCAGAAAGAAGGGAAGGCAACTTGGTTTATGCAAAGAATAAGAATATCATGTAACCAACAACTGGAAACTTTCAGATTTATTGTGTTCATCAGAAATACCATAACTAAAATATAAATGAACTTCATCATCTCATCTCATATAATTATAAACCAAATACTATGTGATACAAAAACATTCCAAATTATTAGAATACAATAATGTGCAGCACACTGTGACATGTAACCTGCACCAAACAAAATTATATAAGTGGCAAAAACAGTGCTTCATTAATAACATAAATGTAAAACTGTATAATTTGCAGATAAAATTGTCACCTCAAATGAATATGTTTATTTATCGCTGGTAGAATTGCAAAGCCTGCCTAGGCAGTGACCTGCAGACGCAACGTGCGGGGGAAGATATATGTTAACTGATGATCAAACAATTCTTGGTGCTTTAAAAGTGATTTTGAGTAAAATCTAGTTTACGGCTTGTAATTAATGTAGTTAGGCTGATTCTTTTTTTTTTTGAGAGTTAGTTAGGCTGATTCAATTACTCATCCGGGTACATTCATTTAATAATGTACCCAACTACCTATCAGTATTTCAAAGAAAATATGTACTCCTACTTCATACTGTGATAACAACACCTGAGTTGAGATAACCATGCCAATCATCTAGTACATAACCAAATGGTTCTGACAGATTATTACCTCTCGGACTTTTCCCTTGGCCATATAGTACTCAATTACAGAAAGGCTGGACTCGAGAAACACTTTGAATCGCTTCCTTATTGTTTCAATGTTATCATCTTCTCTTCCCTTCATAATGGAGATAAGAACAAATAGTTTAAACAACATAAAATGGCACAAGACAAAATGAAACAGAGAAATCTTCTAATAAATCATATGGATAAACCAATAGAAAGAGAGAAACAGAGCAAGAATTGAATAACCTGGTTTCTACTCAGAAGACGCCTCTCCATCTCTTCTTCAGGGCAATTGAAAAACAGTACAAATTCAGGTTCAATTTTTGTCTGCAGAACCACCAAATGTTTGCCATGTTAAAAACCTAACTGAATACTGAGAAGACAAGGTAAAACCGACCCAAGGGCACTTAAACTAAAAGAATAAATATTGGAACCGAGAATGATACTTACAACAGCTTCAAACGCTGCACGGTTTTCCTCATTACGAGGAAAACCATCAATAAGGAACTTGTCATTACCACTTTCCAGCATTGCTTTTTGGAGAAGCTTAATTGTGACCTCAGAAGGAACAATCTTTCCTTCTTTGATCATGTTTTGAATCATGGTTCTGTTGATCAGAAGTGTGCATATATTAAATATGATCATTCAGAGAAAGGTGGCATGTAGGAAATGCTTCGAATAATGAAATAATACTCAACATGCAGAAGGGTTAAAATGCAAACTGGTAAAAAATTGAACAGATATACCCCAACACATAAATTTGCAACAAAGGCAGAGTAGAAAACATGCAGTTCAGGTTTAGAAACCGAAAGAGATAGGTTCATATTAGAAAATCATACAGATCTAAAAATAATTTTGTCTAATTTCAAGAGTTGAGGGTAAAAACCGCAATCATTTTCAATCTCATGTTTGAAATTGAACAGATCTTCATAGGAACAGCCTACACCAAACAATAAGAACGATATTCAATCATTACAAACAAGTTTTTTTTTCTCAAAGCAATATTTCTAAAATTTTCTTTTTCTAGATTGATGCGATTCCAGATTTCAATCATGTTTAGAGACAAAAAGTAAATAAAATCTCCAGAATCAGCTAGAAACTAATGTACGGGTAATCTTTTCAGGCATGATTGTCATACCCATTCTCAGAACCAGAGTCAATTTCAGCTCGGAGGAGATCTCCAGCACTGAGATGAGTGTAATGAAAGTGTTCCACTATATTTGCACATTGGGTACCTTTTCCACTGCCAGGGCCACCTGATCAATAAACAAAACAGGAAAAAGATCCTCAGTAGTTGTAATCATTTACATGAAATGCGAAAATGTAAAACTACCAAAAGGCAAAATAAAAAGGAAGAAGCCGCATACCCAAAACAAAAACAACTTTAGGTTTTTTGTCGGCCAAGCTAGCAGTGAGATCCTGAATACATATGTAATAATAAGCTGATTTGGATAGAAAAAAAAAATCAAATGCATGATGAAGGATGTATGAAAAACGGAATAAATTCCAACGTCGCCATTACCTTGTTTGCAACATCAACTGCTCCCATTATTGAATAAACTAGCTTAGGTTCGGAACTCGTTTAAACCTACATAAATCAGAAAAAAAAGACAAAAAGTATAAGAAATTAAGAAAGGCAAAGAAGAGACCGGAAGTACAGCAGGTTGATGCGAGGTGGAGGAATACAAAACATGCACATTGCACATTGAGATCGGATTCGAATTCCAAATTCCACGTACAAATGGAGAAGATGAAATGAAAAAATTGAGGCAAAATCGTAAAGAACTGAATTATACAGAGATCAAAATGGCATTGAAAATGGAAATCGAAGGAAGAACAGTCAGATCAGAGCAAATCCAATGACAAGAGAGGATTAATTTGCAAGATACGTAAGAAATTTACCTGAATTGTTATTATTAATATTATTAATGAAAAGGGAGGAGGGAATGGAGCTGTAGAGGAAATTGAATTTGGATGACTCTTCAAAGACTTTTAAATACTTTTGAATGAGCATGCTTTTGCTTTCCTTTGGATCTAAATCTATCAAATTTGGCTACCTTCAAAATTACACCTTATGCTAAAGACTATAGATCTGCTACGAGATTAAGAATTATCTTTAAATATTATTTCATGAGATGACTATTCAACTCAGTTGGTAGAGCATAAGGTTCTTAATCTTGATGTCGTGGGATCGAGTCTCACGAATGGCATTTCATAATTCGAAGATCTTCTACGGAAACTGCTCTCAATCTGGTATTGGGGGCAGCGTACTATCTTATCTCCCCTTATCCCATTACATATGGGAACAAAGGACAATCATTTTTTAAATATTATTTTATATTTATTTTAAATTAATAAAATATGACCTGACATGCCATTATTTAATCAATTGTCATATATATAAACTAATATATTTTCAAAAAAATTAATCGAATAATAATGCACATTCATCTTATAACTTTTGAACTTAAATTCTTTAAAGAAAATAACATTTTCTTACCACTAAAATCATAATTCAATTAACATATTTATTCTTTCAATTAAATTGTATTCTCTTAAATTTACTAGATTATGATATGAACTGTTATTAAAAGTTATGTATAAATAATATCTAAAAAAGTTTTAAAATGTAAATATTCAATTAAACCTCAAAACTTATATCGTTATTTAAGATTTAATTAATTTAATATTAAATTAATTCATAAAACCAATCACTCAAATTTTTTATATATAATATAGATAGATTAAATTATGTAATTTTAATTTTTATTTAATTAGTTAATAAAATAATAATGCATGAAATTTTACGTTACATAAATTTGATATTCGATATTTTAAATTCTATTTTTTTAACAAATATAAGTGAAATATGGGGGGGGGGAGGAAAACACCTTGAATCAAATATTCATTAACTGTGTGGTAATATTTTATATTCTTTTATTTTTTTAATATTTTAGTTTTTGTCTTTAGTTATTGAATCATCTTTGAATTGTTCTTCCGCTCAAATCAATAATGTACCTTTTCTTCCCTATCGTTTTCGAAGTAATAAAAACGTAGTAAAAACATATTAGTGCATGCAATAATTATTGGCTAAGGGTTATCATTCAAGCAATCAGGGCCGGTTTTGAGCCTGTGCGGGCTGCCCAACCGCACAGTGTTTAATTTTTGTAAGGGCCTCTAATTTTTTTAAAATTTTCTATATATATATATATATATATATATATATGTATTTAGGATGTTTGACCTAAAAAATTTTAAGTTCAAAGCCTATTTTACTATTATGGTATAGGCCCACTAAATTTTGAAATATTAGTGAACTTCTTTATATATCTAATATTTTAGTTTTAAAAGATCTATTTTACCGTTATGACATAGGGCTACTAAAATTTACAAGACAACCCTGCAAGCAATGATTGTACTGAAAAATAGACGATTGCAACTACTTGTTGATTCCGACTAAGGGCTATGATTCTAACAGTTCAAGCGATGATTTTTTTCATCGTGCGTTGAAATCCGGTTAGATGAATGGAAAAAAGGCGACGTCTAAGACAACACTGACGACCAACGTAGGTAAAGAGATTTTGGAATTAGGATTTTTAGAATTTTAATTTTTAGAATTTTTTTTTATTTTTTAATAAATATTTTTTTTAACATTTTTACAATCTTAACACGTATTATTTAACACTTAAATTTAACAACAAACACCTGATATTATAACATCAAAAACGTTAAATATATATTTTTAACAAATAATTTTTTAAATACTTAAAGTTAACGAAGCCATTAGCTTTGACTCTGCGGTTCATTATAGTTGCACAAACAATAAAAAAAAAAACAAGGTAAAATTGCTCAGAACGAGCTAATTATTTATCCTAATATAACATCAAATGTTTTATTTTAAGAAATACAATAATTATTACAATTAATTGTCACTTTGAAGTAATAAAATTTTAATTAAAAAATTTAAAATTTGTCAATTTAATGTCATGAATTTAAATAAAAAATAATATTTTAAAAAAATTGTTATGTGAAGATGACGAATTTATCTTACACCGCAATATTTACTGTAAGTCTGAGATTGATTTTAAAAATGACTTAATGAGTCAATTCTTTTACCCGCATGATTTATCAGGTCAATTTTAACAACAAAAAAACACACACACACACAAAACAAAGCACCAGCCGGCACTGAAGTATCAGTGAAGAAATTGATGCGACACTGCTCTGCCCTGCTACCAGTCTTGAACGAAACATGGCGGTGGTTTGGCTTTTCTACTAACTTTGAATGCTGAATGAAAGCGCTAACTCACACACTCGCATCAGTCTCCTCTTTTACATGGGTAGGCCCCCATCAACCGTTTTTCAAATTTCATGAAAGAAAAAGGGTTCTTCTACTTTATAAAGAAACTCAACCACCATGTTTTCTTCTTTTTCTCTTTTCTCACGGGAATACTCTTTTCGATGCTTTATTCTCCATTCTTTTATATAAAAATTATCACCTTTTTTCTTGCAGGAAGAATATATATATAGAGAGAGTGTGTGTGGCTGCTTCCTCTAACTGATGAAAAGTTGGTAGGGTTGAGAAAAAAGTTTTACTTGTAAAAAACCTTATCACAGTAGCTATACAAATAGTTGAATAGCTTGGGGGGTGAGCTCTCTTCATTATGGATGGTTATGAAGCAACTAGAATCGTGATCTCCTGAATCCAAGCTTACAACCAGATATGATTCAAGATCATGGCGAGAAGGAGATGATTCGTTTGGCTTTCGGTCCCGAAGCTTTACTTCACTCGGTGATTCTCAAGGCGAAGAAGGAGCTTGGTCTTCCCACGACACCTTCAACTCTATCATCTTCTCCTTTCCTCGCAAATAATCCAAACAATGTTACTTTTCAAAAGCAAACCTCATGTTCTTCTTCCAAGCGCCTAGGGAGTAGTGGAGTCAATCTTCCATTTCTCTCCATCCCTTCCACTTTTACTGGACATGATGAGTTGATCAGAGAGGAGGATGTTTCGAATTATTTCAGGTTTTTTTAAGTATGCTGTACTTCATTAGATTGTAAAGAATGCACTTAATTGCTAAAACTATTTATGTACCCGTTCAAGATGTGAGGATACCAAACCAGCAAAAGAGAATGCTTGGCTTTGTTACTTTAGTTTATCCTGAGACAGTGAAGATTTTGGCTAAAGGAAACGCTTATTTCGTTTGCGATGCTCGAGTTTTGGTGAAGCCTTACAAGGAGAAAGGGAAAATCCAAGACAAGTACTGGCAATTTTCTTAAAACATTTAAGAATCCTTATTTTCCAATGGTTTGCCTACTTGATCTTTGATCTTTTAATGCTCTTTGTTATCTTGCAGGAAGCAACAAATGGAAAGAGAGTTCTCTCCTTGTGGAACCCCTACAGGCATTGATTTGCAGCAAGCCCTTGATCTTCAGAATAGATGGTTGATCGATCTGCAACTCCTCGATGTTAAGAAGCATCGACATCAGAGGGGCTTTTCTAGTGGAAGTCCCATTCCATCACCTGCTTGGTCACCAACCCTTAGCGGTCAGTCTCTCGTACTTACTCAATTTCAGAGCAATCAAGAAGCTCTGCAGGGTACCCTGCATTCAGTTACTGCAATCGCTCATAAGCTAGAATTATCATCGGCTTAGGTCATATGAACATCCTTTTGTACTGGAATGAGTAACCGATTCACAATCCTCCATTGCAGAGAATTGTTCTAGCCCAATGCCAGCTATAATTGTCACTGCTGCCGAGAAACAAACAGCCAGTACTAAGTACTGCTAGTTCTGCTGGCAAAGAATCGGTCGGTACTGAAGAGAATGGTAGTTCATCTGTATGATCTACCAGAAAGGAAATCATGTAATTCAGGTTCTCGTCCCGACATGGGACCATCTGTATGTATGCTGGCACCGGAGGCCCGACCTGCCCCATTGGAATTTAGCTGCCCCATAGCTGGTTTATTAGGGTAAATAATTGTACAGCTTTCAGTATATAAGCAGGGGAACAAAGACACGAGTACAAGAAATTGTCTTTATGTTAGAATCTGTCATGCAAAAAGCAAAAGCTAGGAGTTCGGTTCAGAATTTATAGATATTGCAATTGATTGAGGAGGAACAGGAAGGGCCAAACGACACATGATGCTGGTGGCCGACAGTTGAAATGGGTCCTTGCCACCAACAACAATGGCAGTGCCCCCATGTGACCGAGACTGAGTGATCATTCATAGATCTAGTAATAAATAAAGAAACGGAAGATGTGGATGTGATGCCAAACCAACGACGAAAGTGTACAGTTGTATTAGGCTTGGTTAATCCATGGGTTCAGTTAATAATCAAATTAGATTATCTAAAATTGAATTAATCAAACTCTTTAAATATTAAACCGTTAATCAAATTAATTTTTTTTTTCAGAAGTCATGGAGGTAGCCATATTTCTCACTTAGAAAAATATGCAGTGCAGTAGTTGGTTAGATAATTAGCTGTGACGACCATTGCCACCACATGAACAACCAAATATTCTTCCTTTCAACCCACCATGGAATTGGAAAGATTCATTACACTCATAAATGTCAAGTTAATTAACATGTGATATGATTGACCCTTTTGGTTTAAGAAAAAAAATTCAAGCCTATATATTGTACTTACAATATTTGAGAGGCATTTACTTATATGCAGCTAAAAACATTTACCAACATGCTGCAGTGTATTTCTCTACATGTTATTGTGAGTAAGTATTGCCTTTGGAAATATTCTTTGGCCAGGAGCAAGCATTGCCAAGGGACCGTAACTCTCTCTACATCGAATAATGTGGC